GCACTTATTCACTATTGTATCTGTGTGATCGAAGAATAGTGAATTTCCTCCTTGAAGTGAAAGGAGAAGAGTGAACTAGGAGGATTACACCACCTCTGAACCACTATAAATCTCTCTCTGTATTTACTTACTGCTCATATATATTTCGTGCATGCCTATATTATTTGTGAACTAACCCGTTACGGTTTATTGCGTATCTTTATCTGTCTGGGTTTGATAGTTCCCTCGTTTGCATGCAAGTGAAATTTTATATACATCATCCTACATCTATATCAAGTGTTTCTAACGTGATGCATGTATAGAATCTCTCCTTGAGCACTACACAATTTAAGCATAACACTTTGCCGTTACATTTCCGCTGTGCACACTCTAAGTTGTTATACTTGTTTATGCTTATTACTTAGAGTTGAAGTTACCAAAATGTTGTTTGCTAAAGAAGTTGAAAAAGTTAGAGAAGTCTATTCAACCCCCCCCCCCCCCCTCTAGACTTCTTGCCACCCTTTCGGGACCAACAGTGCGCAGTGAGCACCAGTCTAGCCTCTGTGGTTCATGGTCAGTTGAGTCACCATAATTTACATCCTCCCAAATGCTCTATTGGGCCGGGGTGTGGGGGGCCTTTAGGGTTGGGGTTCAACCTTTGGTAGAATACTCATTAGTCCTCTGTAGGCTAGCTAGTTGCAAAAGATCTTATTCAGTAGTGCATCCTAAAAGATAGATTATTATATTTAAAATTCGACTTAAAATTTTGATATAAATTTTGGGAATAAGGGTTAAATAGGCCACTTAATTGCACCAAAGTTCAATTAGGTCATCGAACTCAAAAAAAATATAATTGAGTCCCTGAACAACACAAATTCATACAACATATTCAATGAAATCTGACTTAGCCTGCAACTCGGACTCGCGCATGCGATTAATGAGAGAATTGAAGGTAATCTTCGAGACTCTGGTTCGGAAGATATTTTTGATGTCGGTAGTGGCATAGAGAATGATAACGAAGAGTGGGAGAATGATGGCTAAGTAGTACCTCTTCCTGTAGCTGAAGTTAAACCGCGCGGGGTCGATGAAGCGGTTTTTATTGTCGTCGATTTGGAAGAAAGAGCGGCCAGGCGATCTCGCGTCGTCCCGCCGTTCGCCGTTGCCGATTAGGTTACGACGATCCTCTTCGTTGTCGGAAGAGGATGCTATGTCCATTGTGCCGGTGACGAAGATCAAATGCGCATCGAGAATTTGTAACTGTAAGCTTTGGTTTCTCTCATAATTGTCATTTTTGCTACAATGAAAATTTTATCCCTGTTGTAAAGGGGTTAATTTGATCTCCGGTGACAACTTGACGGAAAATGCACCAGAAAGACTATTTTTGCTACAAAAATCATAGTCATGGACCTAGATTGCAAGGTTTGAAACTCGTGGGACAAACTTGATAGAGTCACTATAATTGTGGGACCAAAAGTGCGCAAAACTCTTAGTCAAACTATCAATGGAAAACCTTTAAAAGGAAAAAAATGTTTATGATTTTGTGGTTGTTGATTTTGCTAAGTTTGCTGCTTATATATATAGGGAAGGGATCAGGTGCAGGATCTGCACGCACATTAAGCATTAAACTGACGCATTTTAAGTACACAACACACGCACATTAAGCACACAAACAAAACACTTTAAGAACACAAACCCACGCACCTTAAGCACATAACTCATGCACCTTAAGCACAAATTAAACCTCACGTACCTTAAGCACAAAACTCATGCACCTTAAGTTTTCAACAACTACTCACATTAAGCACAAACTCACGCACCTTAAGCACAGACTCACGCACCTTAAGCACAAGACTCACGCACTTTAAGTACAAAACTCACGCACCTTAAGTTTCAACAACGACACACATTAAGTACATACCCACGCACCTTAAGCACAAACTCACGCACCTTAGGCACAATACTCACGCACCTTAAGCACAAAACTCATGCACCTTAAGTTTCAACAACTACTCATATTAAGTACATACTCACGCACCTTAGGCACAATACTCACGCACCATAAGTACAAAACTCACGCACATTACTCACCGCACAACCGCACGGGAAACATTCACACGCACTAGAATTTAATTATATATATATATATATATATATATATATATATATATATATATATATATATATATATATATATATATATATATTCAAATACAAACAGTGCTTACAATACAAACAGTATGGATTCATCTGGATCGTTGGATTATGGGATTAGATGTCCAGGATTCCATTAATTATTTATGGTAGTTTTTAAGGTTTTTTTTTTTTTTTTTTTTTTTTTTTCTTTTTTTGTGTTTTATTTTAAGGGGGACATTTTTGGGTTTTTATTAGTGGGTAATCGTTCAATTGGGGTAGGATTAGAATTAGCAGTCCAATAGGCGCGTCTTCCCGATCTCTCTCTCTCTCTCTCGTTCCCATGTGTCGCTGCCAGTGCGCCTCCCACATCGTTGATCGCCTCCTTCATCAGCAATCGGAAGATGGTCGTCGGGCGGGACTGCGGTGGTGCCAAGCGTCGTGTAACACCGTCGGATGGCTTATGTCGAGGTATTTTATGCTATCTTTTCTCCTTTTGCGTTGTTTTTGCTCGGGTTTAGCTTGGGGGTTTTCTCGGTTGTTTGTTATGAGGTGGGGGTGGGGTGCTTATGCATGTGTGTTTCTAGTAGTAGGCGTGTTTTGTGTGTGTGTAGGGGGATGGTTTATAGCGATTCACGGTGGGATTGTGGGCGGCAAAATTTAAGTTAGCGTTTTTCTTCTTCTTCTTTTTTTTTTTTTTTGCACTGGTGGCTCAATTTGGGGGGGGGGGGGGCGGGGGGGGGGGTTCTGGGTTGTTTGTTACTTCGTTGGGGGTGGGTGCTTATGCATTTGTGTTTCCAGCAGTTGGCGTGTTATGTGTGGGTGGGGGGGAGGGGTGTCTTACGGAAGTTCACTACCGGATAGTGGGCGGTGGAATTACAGTTTTTTTCCAGTTTCTGCACTGTAGTTGTTTTTTTTTTTTCTTTTTTTTTCTTTTTTTCATTTTGTTGTACTGGATTGAAAACTGAAAAAAAAAAAGGTTTATGGTGGCATACTGGTCAATTTTTGTCGTATATTAGATGTGGAAAAATTGTGGCCTGTAATTAGGTATACACTTAATTGATAATATGAAGAATGTAATTTTGTTAATATAGTCGTCTGTACGGTGCGTGGTATTTGATTGTTTGTGAATAATCTCTAAAATTTCAAATTGGCTTGAGATAATTGGCTGCAATCTGAATCTTCTTACAAGCATCATAGATGTTAAGATAATCTAGAGTAGATGTCTACAATCTAGTGTGAAAGATTATAGAAACACACAAAGAACACGTGCTTGCAACTCATTTACACATTCGTTTTGGGGTTGTGATGTATGGTGTGTGTGCACTTCTACCTGCGAATGTGTGCATAGTATTTTTTTTATGTGAAGTTTGTGTTCCGGGTATTGTGCTTCCTTCATATGATCATGGGTGTTCTTTGTGGGTTTAGTTATATTTCTATTTTGCTTATTGAATCTGTTTATAATTGTCAAGTAAAAGTTAAATGGCATTGAGGAATTGAAATAAAGGATTGTGTAGTGGGTATGTTGTAATATAAAGTACTGTGTGTGTTGTGCGCACGCGTGTGAATAAGTGGGTGGCTAGATAGATTTTTTGTTTACTCAGGTCTGTGCAGTTCTGGGTGCGAATGTATGCGTAGTCCTTAGTTTCTGTGTGAATTTTGTGCTTCGGGTATAGTGGTTTCTTTGTATGCTCTCTTGTGTGTTCTTTGTGGAATTAGTTGTATTGTTATTTTGCATATGAACTCCGTTAATTTTGGAAATTGGGTATAAATTTAAATAAAGGATTGGTTAGTGGGAATGGTGGATTGTTAAGTAATGTTTTCGCTGTGTGCACGCATGTGAATAAGGTGGTGTATTTGATGTTTATATATGTGCACTGTCTTGCTCGGTTTGTGATAGTGTTGTTTCGGGTTGTGTTCTTTGGTGTAGCTAGTAAGGTTTTTATTTTACTCGGGTGTGTGCAATTCTAGAGGCGAATGTGTGTATAGTTTTTACTTATCTGTGAATTTTGTTTTTCGGGTTTTGTGGTTCCTTCATATGCTCGTGTGTTTGTTCTTGCACTACTGGAAATTATGGAATTTCCGACCACCTGAAAGTGATCTCAAATCAAGTCGAAAGCCTTGTTCCGACCACTTTTAGTATCCGGAAAAACCTTTGTTGCTATTTTCGACCATTTTTTGGTATTAACTTGATTTAAGATCATTTTCAGGTGGTCGGAAATTCCATAATTTCTACTAGTGTTGGTGGATTTAGTTTTTTTTTTTTTTTTTTTTTTTTTTTTTTGTTTGGAATTGTTTGTGGGTCATATGCTTGTTTGTGTTTGCTCTTTCTGCAGCTAAAAAATTCAAGCGCGCGCAATCGGATACAGGTCCTTCGGGAATATCCGATGGTGATAGTGACTTTGTGACGCCGCCTAGGGCGCTCCATTACAGGATTCAGCAAGAGCCACCACAGGAGGATGCTCCCGAGTATGAATTGAACGTTGAGGAGGATGCTATGTATCCTAGGGTGAAGATGAGGGGACAGTCTGTGATATTGGTAAATGCCTTGAAGGATCTGAGCTTTCAACAGAAATCTGACATTTATGAGCTTGGGTTTAGGGCGTTGCTTGAGTTCAAGGTTGAGGATGTTCTACCGCATCTTTTGCTATGGCTACTGTTTAATTTTGATTCCCAATCAATGTCATTTGATCTCGGTAGTGGGAGATCATTGGTGGTAGATGAGGGTGATGTGGAGTTGATTTTGGGGTTTCTGCGTGGTCGTGTTGAGATGGTTCAACGGGATAAGCCTAAGATTAGCAGCACTCTCAAACATTGGAGGGGTCTATTTTAGATGCGGAGGCACAATATCACTGCGGCGGAGATTAGTGAGAGGATGGTTGGTGACTACGATGGTGGCTTTTGGTTTAAGCGATATTTCCTATGTTGGTATTGACCTCCTTAGTTTGTTGTATGTGTAACGGGTACTCGAACCAAATGTATTTTCATCATTTTGAAGATGTGTCAAGTGTGCGTGACCTAAACTGGTCCAAGCTTGTGGTGGACACTTTGGTTGAGACGTAGGCTACGTGGCGTGCTGGTCGACATAAGTTCTTTCTTGGGCTTGCTGAGTTCATTACGGTATTGTTGCTATTCTTTTCTCTTTTCGTGTTGTGTATGTTGTTTTATTCATTCTAACTAATATCGTAACATTCTATCTTGTATTTATTTTTGGTGTTTTCCAGTTGTTTTATGTAGATCGGATTGTGCATGGTGCTCACGCGGTCCCTCGGTCTATTCCTGCTCTTCGTGGGTGGTTGTCACCCTTACTACGTCAGCGTGAGTTCTCTGAGATTTGGAGTGGTGGGTTTGGCCTTGGTGTCATTGAGCCCCCGACGCAGGGTTGTGATGGGGGGGATGAAGGTGATAATATCCCGCCTGTTCAATATGGCCCCATGGTATGTTTTTTTTTGGGTTGTGGATTACTTACAGTTATGCTTTTATTGTGCACACATCATGTGCTGCGGCCTGCGTGTACACTCAACATTCAATGTGTCCTTGCAAACTGTGCATCTGCTCCAACAATATAAGCCAACAAGTCCCTCCTAAAATTGCAAAAATCTGTGGATGTCGCTCCTATGTCTGAAAAACTTCCGACTATTTCGTTGTATAGCCTCCATGATTTTGTGGAACCAATGTTTGCCCTTGCGCAGTTTGCTACGAATATTTTGTGTCCAATATCTATCTAGTTGCATATTTATTTTCAAAAATGGCCTCCCAATGTCAAAGCATAGGCAGTGTGTGTGCCATAGCTCAAGTGCATGGATTTTATAACTGCCGCTTGTGGGCCATGTGAACACGATTCGGGCATTACAACCAACTCGGTTTGACAACCAGCGCTTTTTCTTTGATTTTGTGTTGTTTCCTTTGTCCGTCATCACGCTACTACCCTTTTTTTTTTTGCTTGTATCCTTCTCGTGAACATAAAATGTATACATTATATGTGAACTGCCCCTTCCCTATTCCTCCGCATCGTGCCTTGTCTGATATCGAATCCGGCAATGGTTGTGTATGCCCGGTAGAAGTCTAGTCCGTCTTTTAGTGATGTAAATTCTTGCCCAACATACGGTGTGCTTTCGCTTTTGCAGTTAGGCAACCACTGTTTCGTTCCATCGGGTAATACGATCATGTTACACTCCGTTGCTCCGCCTCCACTATGTTGTTCGCCTTTAATTCAAAAGTGTATTTTGCGATAATAAAAGTACAATTATTCGCCCATGGCAGCACTGTTAATATTACATATAGTATAACAAACAAATCCGTGAATGCACGTGTGTTCAAACTATGGCCTCCTATGTGCACGCATATAACTAATCGGTTCGAACCCTACCCCCAACATCCCAGTCTCTCCGTATTTTTTTTTGTTGGTAGATTTCTATTCACAAAATTCAATAACCTACGCTACAAGTATGTCATGGTGCAAATTTTCAATACTTCTAACCCCCAAAAATTAATATACACGCATCGCATTGCATATTGTTCTTCCTCACTAAAACAACATTGAATAATAACGATCAAATATATGGTGTAACTACCTGGGTGTGGATCATCCATGGAGTCTGAGTTGGCTTCAAAATTTTTGAGGTTTGAGTCGTCAATGGAGTCTATTCTTGCGTCCATGGTTGAACGTTGGAGCAATTGATCTCTGTCGTGAAAGGGGTTTGCGTTGCCGGTGGTGTATTCTAATCCTTCCAGTATTACAATCCCTTAATTATAACATGTTATACAAATACAATTTGTTTCCTTATTTACGTGTGTGGCTGCACTCACAATATTGCCCTTGTGTTCAGAATTTAACAATCCCTATACCATCTTAAGACTCTATCTAATCCATTTATGTTATCACATCCTAAGGCTATATTTTGTCCGCACGTTTGTATTTTAAGAGTGTTTGCATGTGAATGCAACCCTCTATATAAATAAATAAATAAATAAATAAATAAATAAATAAATAAATATATATATATATATATATATATATATATATATATATATATATATATATATATATATATATATATATATAGCAAAATAACATAGCACAAAAAGTTCCCGCCCAAATGGAATGGCGTCGTTTACATTGAAGCATATTATTAATTGATATTGCGTAAGAATCAATGTGAAACTATTAAGTTACCAAAGACTTTTAAAACAATATAATTGTTTCCTTTTATTTTTTGTTTACAGAATGAATTTCAACCAATCAAATTAAAGACCTAATTTGAAATAGGTTGGTCTCTTCGTTTTCCGATAACATATTTATGTAAACAATTATGTTCACATATTCATTACGTCGAATTGGGTTTTCCAACGATAGTGCAGGACATGTATATTTAAATAACATTCTCAACATTTGTACACCAGTGCTCATCTTCGAATCAAACACGCTCATCTACACGTAATAGCAAAATTTGCAGGTGATATACGCAGGCAACAATGTACGTTCTTGCAAGTGATATATCTCCAATGAATACACGCAACGCACTGCGTTTGCGAACTCTGAGAGCGTATGACATCCAAGAAAGGAAGTCGTCTTCCGTACTCAAATCCAAAGAAATTGTGTTCCATGATCAGCAGGTAATTTTTTTTTTTGAAACGAACTGGGTAATCTGGAAAAAAATCTAGCATATTAATCACCATTACAGAGTAAACTAAAATCATAAATTGCTATTGCTTTTAGAGCACATTTTTGCATGCCCACATACCCAAGGAATTTGTAGACAAATTCCGGACGACTTTTACAGAAGGCAAAGTTTACGGTGTTAATAACTTTGTGGTCATCACTAATTTCTACTCTTTCAAGACCAGCCCACATAAATTCATGATAAAGTTCAATTATCAAACTGTTGTAAAAGAGTTGAAGGGTACAAATTTCCCAATGCACATGTACAGGTTGATGGATTTCAAGACACTAAAAGCTAATCAATCTGTTGATGAGAAGTAACTATTTGGTACGTCTATATTCTTATAGTTTATTTATCTGGATTTATAATGTTTCTAATTCTTTTACTAACATTACTCTTTTCATTGTAAAAATGTGTTAGATGTAATTGGTCGTGTGGTAGAGATACATGCTCCCCAGGAGAAGATAATAAATGGCAAAAACTCAAGGTTGATCGACTTTGTAATTGAGGATTCTGAGTATGTTTCTAATTTTCTGCCGTTTATAACTTTCTATTCCTAAAGTGTTTGTACTCATAACTAACATCTATTAAAAATTGTAGTGGTATTCAATTGGGTTGTACTGTATGGGATGACCACGTAAACAAAGTGGAAGTGTACTACAATTCGGCTACTGAAGAACCATTATTGCTTTTAATACAGTTTTGTAGAGCTAGACCCTGTTTGAGAAGTAACTACTCATCTCTTTACTGAAATCGGTTTTTTTTTTTTTTAAATATTAGCTAAAGTTGGTTTAACTAATATTGTTTTTTCTCTATTTAGGTGGTGATATCAAAATCTGTTCATCATATGATGTTACACAACTCCTATTCAATCAACAATGTCCAGAGTTCATGCAGTTTAGAGAAAGGTATGTAAAAGAATTACACTGTTTATCTACAAATCATATTTGCATATTATTTTATAACTTCCATAAAAAATGACTCAAGATAGTGTATAATATAATTCTACGAACAGTTTGGGCCTTGAACAAACTCCGATGAGGAGTATTGTTTCACAGTCCAGTTTCAACCCTGGAAGTTCATACACTGTCTCCCTCAAGGATGATTTGCAACTAAGAACTTTGACAGAAGTGTATGCAAAGAAAGAGGTACGATAACAATCTCACAAACTAACAAATAATGGTTAACATCTTATTTTTTGGTGCTAAATCCTAAGTAATTATATATGCTGCAGTTTGGAGAGTTCTGGGTAGCTACTCGAATAATTTCCATTGACTGTGATGGCGAGTGGTATTATCCATCGTGTCGTACAAAAGCATGCTACAAGAAGTTGGAGCCCAAAAACGAGTTTCTATATTGCAAAGACTGTGATAGGACTTGAGGAGATGGGATTTTGAGGTATAGGATTAAAATCAGGGTTGTAGACATAAAGGGAAATGCTCCCTTTGTCATGTGGGATAGGGAATGCACTGAGTTGTTAGGTATGAGTGCACTGGAATTGAAACAGAAAAATTCTCAGGTAACACAATACATTTAATTACTTTCTTAACTACTTATATTTGTGATTCACTCAATGAACATGTAACCTATTCAATTTTTATCATTTTCTACTGTAGGGAAAAAATGGTGTGCCTGCTGAAATTCAAGCATTGGTTGGCCTCAATCTAATTTTCAGAATTGCGGTTCGAAGGGAACAATTTCTAAACCTCCTAAATGTGTTTTCTGTGATGAGGATTATCAATGATGTTGAAATGTTAGAGCTACATGCCCCACAGTTGATGCTCGGAAGGGATAAAGACCTTAACTCGAAGTTGGAACTTGAGCTTACAGAAGAAGATCTTTGGGAGGATGAGGTATTTAGAACTCATAAATATTGTTATATGGCTATTAACTCTGGTCTCAACATTTGTCTACCTGACCCCTAAAAAAAAATTTTGGTGTAGGATGAGTTGGATGTCAATGAAGCCGAGATTCCTCTCCAGGCTATTCCTCTTAATCTCACTGGTGATGGCTATGAAGCAGGGCAGTTAAAAGGTCATTGATGGATAAATTTTCAAGTACCCAAAGCTCCAAAAAAACAAAGGAAGTGGTTGTGAAATTAGAAAAATTGAAGGAAGCTTGAAATAGTAGCTGGTCTGTTAAATTTAAACAATGGGACAATGGTTTTTGAGTATTTTGGGCTAAGTTGTTTCCCCTCTGTCGATGATGCCAGTTAGACATTTCGGATATTTTCTAATTATTTGTTTGGTGTTAAACTTTGGAAAAATTTTAATGATGTATTGAATTCCAGTTTCCTTTGCTATTTGTGACTAATTTGCAGGACTTCACCACTACTCCTACAATAGTCTATCGCAATAATCAAATGACAAGTCTTAACAGGGATTAGAGCCGTTGGGTAGCATTTTTGTAAGACACAAATGTAGAAAACAACCTATAACTACCCAAAACATATGATTTTTTGTAATTACTCATGTTTTTTCCAAAGTGTTTATAGTTTTGCAGGTGGATGGAGTTCAAATATAGCAAACAAACACAAATATCAAATGATCCATGCATTGCAAGAAGAGTGGACCAATCAATTTCAAGGAACATATGTTATGCTTGAAGATCAAACAAGAAGATCCTAGATTGTTAAAGAATAGTTTAGGAGATCTATAATCAACTCTAGAAGTTCTATTTAGATATAGAATACTATAGGATTTGTATTCTAATCACAAGTAATGTATGAAGTGATATCATATAAAATTAATTTTTGTGGAAGATGCTTATTAATTGGAAACCGGCATTCAGAACAAATGCAATCAAATACACTCATAATAATAGCAAAACACATATTAAAGATGTTTCCCTTCCAAAAAAAATCAAAAAATACATACATGCACAGTAAAGTATATAGACAATTTTTAGGTTTTGAAATGTTACCTGCTTTGCCTTTAAAAAAAATATCACAATGTGTATCCCTTTCGCCCTCACAACTTTGGTTCATCCTGCCAAGTAAATTGTCACAACTGTGGTTAGTCAATGAGAAAAATAAAATTCAAATATCCTAACTAAAACAGTGAGAACTGCACAAAAACTCTAGCCTCACAATTATAATAACATGGTTAGATCTTACATTTAAACAGTTAGATTTGTTCTTCATACTCTGTTTGGTTACCAAGTTTACGTTTGGGTCAGGTAAGATCTCAGATCTTAGATCCCAACAACTTCACTGCAAAATCAAAGTTCAAGTTAGAAAATTTGACATCAAATACTTCAATTACTAAATGTGTCTTGAAAATTAGTAAACTAACATTACTGGAAAACACTTCTATACTCACAATTTTGAGAAAAATTTTAAACTTAATTCTCTAAGCAATGTAAAAGATCTCTATGGCATACTCTCTTTGGTTCCCAAGTTTATGTTTGGTTCATCTAAGATCTCAGATCTGTGACCCCAACACCTTCACTGCAATATCAAAGGAGGTTTTAGAACAATTGACATAAGATACTTCAATGTGTAAATGTCGTTTGCAAATTAGTAAAGTAACATGACCTGCTCAAAAATGGAATGGTAAAAAGCCCTGCAAAAATCGATTTTAATAAGTTTAAGTGAAGTCAAACTTATATATACTGATTCAATTTTAATCTTAATCCAGTATTCAAATTAATTGTCCACTTTTTCATTTTAAACTTTAACATTACCTGTTAACTAATGTATACTCGGTTTGGTTCCCAAGTTTAAAATTGTATGGGTTAAGATCTCACATCTGTGACCAATACACCTTCACTGCAAAATCAAAGGTCATTTTAGCAAATTTTTCAGAAAATACTTCAATTACTAAATGTCTCTTGGAAATTCGTAAAGTAACATTATTGTAAAGCACTTCAAAACGCACAATTAAAATAACAGTTTTAAACTTACATATAAACACTGTAAAAGATCTGTTCTGCATACTCTCTTTGGTTCCCAAGTTTACGTTTGGGTCATCTAAGATCTCACATCTGTGACCCCAACACATTCACTGCAAAATCAAAGGTCATTTTAGAGAAATTGACATAAGATACTTCAATTAGTAAATGTGTCTTTAAAATTAGTAAAGTAACATCACCTACTCAAAAATCGAATTCAAGATCCCCTGAAAAAATCGATTCTAATAAGTGGTAATGAAGTCAAACTTATATATACTTATTCAAATTTTATCATAATGATGTGTTCAAATGACAAGTGACTCTTTCATTTTACAGTATAACATGACCACAAAAATATACATGAAGTTATATGTGAACAGTTTCACCACCTAAATATATAAAACTATAATTAAAAAAATTAACCTTTCAGATTCATCTCTATAACAACAACAAAAAAAAAAAATATTGCAGTGAGGGGTTAATTCACAAAACTTTAAAAAACCTTTTAGGTTCCCTATATACTTGATAACATGAATAATTAAGTCCTACAATTTTGTTTTTCAAGAGAAAGTAGGTTAACTTCTCTATAAATACACAACCAATAACAACAATATTGTGTTCGTGATAATGAACCAATAATCGATTTAATATCATAAAATAATATTTATATATACACACACGAAGTATATAAAATATTATTCGATATATCATATCCGAAATATATATATACACACAAATATATATATATATATATAAATCAGACCACCATAGTTATATGCATGAATATCTACAGAAAAGGTATATACATATCAACCAAAAGGAATTTATAATTCACAGATTATAATTCCAACCAAATTATAACATAAAAGGAGGATTCTTGCTTAGAAGCATAATCCAAAAACGAAAGAAGGAAAGATTGGCTCGTGTTTGGGTAAGGGTTTTTAGCGTGAGTCAAGAGACCACTCTTTCCTTAAAACCTTATTTGCCACCTCCCAAAAGTGCTAGGAGCGTCGTGGCCTAGGTTTCCCAGGATAAAACGCGCTACGGTTCGACGTTTGAGCACCCAAACGAGCGAACCCGGCGAACTAGAGCAAAAGCCTTGAACACAGTTAGGCTAAAGAAAGGAGTAGAAGCAGAAGGTTTTGAAGCTTGAAAACTAATTTCGTGTAGAGCTCTTGTACTTGTTCGTAGTATATAAAGCTTCTACCTTCTACCCCTTTCTTATATAGCGGGGGAGTACTTAATAGCATTTATCATGGCCTTAATTACACGTTGTGTAACATCTGAAACAGCAACCCCCATTAACAGAATTAAATTCAGAATTCAAAACTGGAGTTAATGGACTGTTGGCCTTCAGCCTCACCAAATTTCGGCCCCAAGCCGAAACTTTCAGCTTCGCCAAGTTTCGGCCCAAGGCCAAAACATTGCTGCGTTCTGTTTTTCGACCTCCCAAGGCCGAAACCATGGTTCAGACCGAAACTTTCAGGTTTCGGCCTCCCAAGGTCATAACTTAGCCCGCAAGGCCAGCCAATTTTTCGGACGACATTCGTGCCCGTAGGTGCCGGCACACACGAGCTCGGGCTTGAATCAAGCCTTTCCGAAGTCATCTCTAGTTGGAATTTGATTTGCACCCCCCCCCCCTCGCGCGAGAGAGCCTCTATGCTATACAATTCTACAAGCTCTAAAAAAGCTCTTATATAAAAGGGGGGTGAAATCCTCTTTCCAAATCAATGTGGGACAAAGCTCACTTTTCCCTTACATTTTTCCAACTCAATGGGTCTACTTTGAGAATCAATATCTCATTCACCCATTATCCGTTTTGAGCGTACAATATATCAATCTTTTCGTCTCACTACGAAGAATCCGAATCCACTTTGACCCGACCCAAATCGGAAGTGGACCCCACCGATAATTGTACCACAAAATAGCCACTTAAAAGCCATTTTAATGCTATTTTTCCAACATATTGGATTTACAACACTGATCTGAAAACAATAAACTCATCCCATAAAAAACACAGTAGGTGAAGCATTCCCATCAAAAGCACAGTAGCTAAAGCATTCCTATTGCAGAACATGAGGAAGATTACATCATCATGCACGATTGGATCCAAGAGGAAACAGTGTCGTCAAACAAAAGGTGTGTGTCCTTCAAATGCATTACATACACTATCAAATAGGTAGTAAAAGCATGTAGTCAATCATATAGGAAAACTTATCAAATGCATTACATACACTATCAAATGGCATATTAAATTGTAATATTAGGAAAACTTATCTCTTTTGTAAGCTCTCTGTTCAAATTAGAAACCCTTGGCTGTAGACCGAAGAATATCTTCGATTCATATGAAACTGCAAAAAAATCTACAAATATCAAATTAGAAATTATCAAACCCTTAATTTGCATGTTAAGATCCAAAGTTAAAAATTCAAATAAACAAAATTTTCAGGTTTAGATGCATGATTCCGAAACTCAAAATTCTGGGTTTTAGATTTTCGATTAAGTAACATCAGTTCACAGAAAAAATCGAAATAAATCATAAATCCTATATTAACGCTTATAATTGAATTTTAAAGCTGTAAATTGGAGAAAAGAAAAATCAGGATTTAAAACTTACAAATCTAGGTGTGAGACTTCATTTCGATTTTCGCAACTGTTGAATCTACGAGCAAACGCGAACTCCGACTAGGGTTTCCAAATCGGTACTCGAACAATAGTGTAAAAATTGTCTCAATTAGAGATGATGTATGTAGATTACATACGAACGACACCTTATTAGGAACAGAAAAAGCATGATCTGGAAAATAAATGGTGAAATAGGACGAACTCGAGAGAAAAGGGTGCAGGGCGAAAACTGTGAACGCTGGGAATGAAAAGAGAACATCATTCTCCTTTCCAAAATATAACTCAGATCTGATTGTAGCAGATAAGGTCAACAAAGACCCATTAGTTATGGTGAGAAACCTAACACTATGGTTACTTAATGGAGTAATATTTATAATATTTATAATATTATAAAATTGATTAAAACTATTAGTTTGAAGATTATATATATTATATATAAATTATATAAACTGGACTATTTCACTTTACATTAATCATTTACTTTTGGTTTATATAAATATAGATATAGAGATTTATTATATGTTTGGAATTTGAAGTTTTTTAATTATTTCACATGTTTAGTAGTGGTTATTATTTACATAAAGTTTAATATATTATGACACTAATATATAATCTCTTAATGACCGGTTTAAACATTCATGTCCTAATATGCAGAGAACGAACATTTTACACCCAATGAAGGTTCGCAATCATCGTTAACAAATCAAGTTCCACAACCGTCTAATAGAACACAAATATTCGGTGTCTTTCAGAATACACTTTGTACACCTTTGAGTGTTGTTACAAATGGTGAGCAAGTCTTGAGCTTTTTGGATTAAATTCATAAATGCTATAAGGGTATTTTTTTAAACCATTTGTTCTGAATTTATATAATATAACTAATTATATTCTTTTATTTTGCATAACAGGGTCTACCACTACAAGAACATTAATGTCTAACACCTTGGGTCAAACAAGCAATTACAGACAACCTTTAAGCAATATTACAAATTGTTAGTATTGTTATATTAATATAAACAATTTTCCTAACACTTAATCCGCAATTATTCATTATTTATACTATAATAACAATACTTAATTGATGACAACTCTTATAGCTTATCGCGAAGAAGTTATTGATTTAATGGATAATTCACCGCTGAAGAAGCGCCTTCTTCATACATTTGACCTGAATTTGTCGCCAAGTAAAAGCGATGATACAATTGGTAAACAAATCGTCAACTAAAAATTTAAATTATTACATTATGTTTATAATATTACTATAACGTACCCTAATATTTAAGTTTATGATGGTAATAGTTTTCGAGACGAATGGTTGTGTTACAACAGATGGTAACAAAGGAACGCTAAAACAAAGAGAGTTACACCCCGTTCAACACGTTAGGAACCTAATTTCATAATTCGAAGAGGTTGTTGAACCTATACAGCTGCAAGCCGTTGCAAGTAATGGTCTGTCAAGTCACTTCATTCCCAAACAATAATATTGATAAAATGTAATCTATATATGCGAGATTATTGGATTTATTTTACTTATTTGAATTTATTTTTTACAGTTGAATACTTAGATTTTGGAGACCCAGAATTCGTGTGCGAGTATTGTAGTGCTATTTTTTGGTCAAATGAACGCTCAGCACAGTCAAAACCAAATGCAAAGCCAAAGTACTCAAGTTGCTGTGTACATGTAAAAATAGTGTTACCGTTGATGATAAAGCCACCGAATAAGTTACATGATTTGTTCTTTGTACCAAGCGAGAAAAACAAATGTTTCTTGCAAAATATAAGATCCTATAATAACATGTTTTGTTTCACATCGATGGGTGGTAAAGTGGATAGTTCAATTAATAATGGTGCTGCACCACCAATATTTCGTATAAATGGCCAGAACTTCCATCGCATTGGAAGTCTTCTACCTACTGCGGGAGTACAACCAAAGTTTGCGCAACTTTATATTCACGACACACAAAATGAAATCGAAAATCATATCAAGTGTGTTAGGTATAACAAATTCTAAAAATTAACATTTCATTTTTCTAAATACATACAATTGTAAATTTATCTAACAATATTTCTAATTGCTTATATTTCACTTTTTGTAGGACCAATAGTGATCAAGCGGATCTACATCGAGAAGTTGTATATGACATTAAAGAGGTTTTAGATCACAATAATGTGTTCGTCAAATCATTCCATATGGCTAAAAACTTTCTTGATTGTAATGACACATCTAAGATTAAGATGAGGCTGATAGACAGGAGGGCTACAGATGCACGTACTTATTCATTACCAACAGCGTCTGAGGTTGCAGCTCTAATAGTAGGAGACTTAGAGCCATCAATGGGTGAACAGGACATTTTAGTGGAGTGTAAAACTGGAGGGTTGAAAAGAATTAATGAATTAAACCCAGCCTATTTGCCATTGCAATATCCAATTTTATTCCCTTATGGCGAGGATGGATTTAGGGAGGACATTCTATTTTCAACAACAATTACTAATCATAATTGGTCAAGAAAAAGTATCTCTCAAAGGGAGTATTTCGCTTTTCGTCTTCATGAAAGGTTAACTAAGATATCAACTCTACTATATGCTAAGAGGTTATTTCTACAATTCTTAGTCGATGCGTATACAATGGTTGAATCTTCACGGTTGTGTTATATAAGGTCAAACCAAAAAGCGCTGAGATGTGAGGCATACAAAGGCCTATCAGATGCCTTGACACGAGGTGAGATTGAACCCAGCACTCAAGGCAAAAGAATCATATTACCATCAAGTTTTACCGGCGGCGCAAGATACATGATACAAAACTATCAAGATGCTATGGCGATTTGTTGGTTTATAGGTTATCCAAACCTATTTATTACATTCACATGCAATCCAAAATGGCCTGAGATAAGACGGTTTTTGGACAAAAGGAACTTTAAGGTAGAAGATAGGGCCGACATAGTTTGTCGTGTCTTCAAGATGAAATTGGATTCAATGATCAAAGAGATTAAGAAAGGGAAATTATTTGGTCACGTTAAAGCTGGTATAAATTACTGTACATTGTAATATATTGTTTTAGTGTGCTATAATACAATCAAGCAAAATTCACTTATTATAGCTCTTTGTTTGCAATTATTTACACAATCGAATTTCAAAAAGAGGTTTACCATATGCACACATACTTTTATTCCTTCAAAAGCATGATGGTTTCTCTAGCCCAACATTCATGGACTCGATCATTTCAGCTGAGATTCCGGATAAGGTTAATGACTTGGTATATTATACAACTGTTGAGGAATTCATAGTTCATGGACCTTGCGGACACGCTAAAAGGAATTCACCGTGTATGTTAAATGATAAGTGCTCTAAACATTTCCCCAAGAGATTCATTGATTCATCTCAGTTTGATCAAGATGGGTACCCGTTGTACCGTAGGCGAAATGACAATCGAATGGTAAAAAAGAGTGGAATAGAGCTGGATAACAGGTATATTGTACCTCATAATCGATACCTACTACTGAAGTACAAAGCCCACATTAATGTTGAATGGTGCAACCAATCACGGTCAATCAAGTATTTGTTCAAGTACGTCAACAAAGGTAATGATCGAGTTACAGCTGAGTTTTATAAGACCACGACTGATGATATCGGTAATGAAGTTGTAGATGAAATCAACATGTACTACGATTGCCGATACATTTCAGCTTGTGAGGCAATGTGGCGCTTACTTAGTTTTGAGGTACAGTATCGCATACCACCTGTTGAGAGGCTAAACTTTCACTTACCGGATTGCCAATCAGTTGTTTTTCAAGACGATGATAACATTGATCACGTTTTGAATAAGGAATCAGTTGCGCAAAGTATGTTCAATGGATAGTTTGTAGCAAACCAAAAGTACCCACAAGCTAAACAGTTAAGTTACATAGAGATTCCTACAAAATTTGTTTGGAAAAAAAGACATTCGTGAATGGCATCCAAGAAAGAAGGGTTTCGCCATCGGACGAATATTCTATGTTCCACCAGCATCTGGTGAGATATTATTTGAGGTGCTTATTGAACATAGTACGTGGCCCCGAATCTTTTGAAGATATTAGGACACATAATGGAGTGGAGTATGGTACATTTAGGGATGCATGTTATGCTCAAGGCATGTTGGATGACGACAAAGAGTACATTGATGCTATAGTAGAAGCAAGCTTTTGGTGAACTGCTCATTCATTAAGGAAGTTGTTTGTAGTGCTTTTGACATCGAGTTCCATCATTAGGCCAGAATATGTTTGGAATGAGGTGTGGAAACATTTGTGTGAGGATGCTCAACATGTTCAGAGAAGAATTCTACAACAACCAGGTATAAATTATGCCTCTTATTACACTTATCAAATTACTGTAAATAATATTCTTTATTAAAGTTGTTTTTTTTTCATATTTTATTACAATAGATTTGTTTTTAACTGAAGAAGAAAAGAAGAACTTTGGGCTAATTGAGTTGGAGAAATTGTTGGAACAACAGAATTGGTCTTTAAAGGACAACCACCCAATGCCGATCCCAGAAATGGTTAACTCTACATTGGTACGTAATCGATTGTTGTTTGAAGAATTATCATATGATCGGTAGTTTTTAAAAAAAGGAGGCTCAAGAGTTGTGTGGTAAGTTGACGGAAGAGCAAAGATCGATTTACAATACTGTGCTAGACGACGTTTCCAGTCACTTGGGTGGTTTGTTTTTTGTTTATGGTTACGGTGGTACTGGGAAAACATTCATGTGGCGAGCATTATCATCTACATTGCGGAGGGCCAGGTTGTTTTGAATGTTGCATCAAGTGGTATAGCTTCGTTGTTGTTGCCTGGTGGACGAACTGCACACTCAAGGTTCGCAATACCAATAACAATAAACGAAGATTCGACATGTAACATTAAACAAGGAAGTCAGTTAGCTGATTTATTGATACAAACAAGTTTAATAATTTGGGATGAAGCGCCGATGATGCACAAGTATTGTTTTGAAGCACTAGACCGGACCATGAGGGATTTGTTGCGTTTTGTAGACCCGAACAGTTCCAACAAGACTTTTGGTGGTAAAACAGTCGTACTCGGTGGTGATTTCCGTCAAATACTACCCGTAGTCCCCAAAGGTACTAGGCAAGACATAGTAAGTGCTACTATCAACTCTTCATACTTATGGGACAGTTGCAGGGTTATGAAACTAACACAGATTTTGCGACTAAGCAATGTCGAAAACCCCGACGAGCGCGTACCACCAAACAGTTTGCAGATTGGATTGCTGCAATAGGCGATGGCAAGATTGGTGGCCATAATGATGGTTATGCTAAAGTAGAAATACCTAGGGATATGTTACTACCTACCAATGGTGACCATATTGAAACCATTGTTCGGAGTACATCTCCGATGTTTGCACATGGTAATTCTAATGCGAGTTATTTTCAAGGCCGTGCTATTCTGGCACCTACACTAGATGTAGTTAACTCAGTTAATGAGTATATGAGTGACCTGCATACGGCTGAAAGTAGAACATATTTTAGTTGCGACACAGTATGCAAAGCGAATGCAGGTAGTGGAATAATGGGTGATGTCCACACACCTGAGTTTTTGAACGGTATTAGAGCTTCAGGTATCCCAAACCATGCATTGACTATAAAAATTGGGTCCCCAGTAATGTTATTAAGAAATATTGATCACTCAGTTGGATTGTTATTAAGAAATATTGATCACACAATTGGGTCACCAAGTTAGCAGACCGTGTAATTGAAGCTGAATTAATAGATGGTACTAACAAAGGTGAAAAAGTGTTGATACCCAGAATGTCAATTCCTCAGACACAAGATTACCATTCAAGTTTCAACGACGACAATTCCCACTAATGTTAGCATATGCAATGACTATTAACAAAAGTCAAGGTCAAACACTGTCACATGTAGCTTTGCTTCTAAAAAAACCGGTTTTTGTGCATGGTCAATTGTACGTTGTTGCATCGCGAGTTAACAACCCAAGTGGCCTTAAAATATTGATTGCCAGCGACTCAAGGACAACTGCTACATCAACAACCAACGTAGTATACCATGAAATCTTCAATAATTTGTAATTGTTTACTAAACGAGATTTTTGGATATTCTGTGTAAACGTGTTGTCATTATTGTTCCTATTTGCTAATTTTTATAACTTTTCACAAAAAGGTACCCAATTATTCACACAATTGGACACTATCTTGAACAATATCCATCCCGTGCATCGCACGGGGACTATACTAGTATATATATATATATATATATATATATATATATATATATATATATATATATATATATTCACATATACATATGGAAGGGTTTAGGTGCGGGTATAGCTTCCCGTCATGCAATTGTGCGGTTAATTCAAAAAGACGCTCCTTAAATATTAAAATGACGAACCTTACGTACACAAAACCACGCGCATTAAGCACACAAACAAAGCACTTTAAGAACATAAACCACACACCTAAAGTTTTAAAATGGCGTACTTTAAGTACATAAACTAAGCACCTTAAGCACACAAACAAAGCACCTTAAAATCACAAACCACACACCTTAAGTTTCAACAAATGACGCACCTTAAGTAAAACAACGCACCTTAAGAAGAAACACCACACACCTAAAGTGTTAGGCCGACGCACCTTAAGTTTCAACAACAGACTCACCTTAAGCACACAAACCACGCACCTTAAGAAGAAAAACCATGCACCTAAAACTTTTGGCAGACGCACCTTAAGTTTCAACAACTAACTCACCTTAAGCACAAAATTCACGCACCTTAAGAAGGAAACCACACACCTTAAATTTGACCTAGATGCAAAAAGACAAAAATGCCATCGCATTTTTTTAATCATTGTTAATCCTGAACGTTGATTTAGGCAATATGAAGGGCTCAGATTTAACTGCACATTCACACGGGAGACACCCAACCGCACAGGAACTATATATATATATATATATATATATATATATATATATATATATATATATATATATAATCTTTGTAATTGTAGTCTTTGTCATTGTCAAGTAAGATGTCTATAGTTTTTTTTTAGATGAAAGAGGAGGGGGGATACCCCATAAAGAGAAGCTAGTCCCTTCCACTCTGAGACCAATTAGCCTGGAGCTGGTCGTTTTCAGTGATCTCATCCAACCCCGGTGGGCACCAATCAAGATCTCTCCATTCTACGTTCATATAAGCGTCTTCATTTTTGAAAGTGCCTTGATCTTCCATAGGTGGTTCCAGATAGGGTCCTGCACATCCAAGGCACGTTCATGAATCGTGTTATAAGCCGAACAAACAGAAAACATACCTGAGGGTTCTGCCTTCCATGTGACCTCGTCCGCTCCCTCTTGGATTTCAAGCATCTCTAGCTTCGACCTTATGCTAGGGAGAAGGTTAGTAAGCTTCTCCCATTTCCAGCCTCTTGTCAACTCCCAAAGATGCGATACTAGAAAGTCTTCTTCATCGTGGCAGTCCGTAATGTTCAGATTGATCAACGGCTCGGCTGAAATCCATGCGTCTTTCCAGAAGCGCACCCCTTATCCGCTACGAACAATATGGTGGATGTTGTTCTTGACGTTAGGCATGGCCGATGTAATTCCCCTCCATACGTTTGATGCTCCAGTCTTTGGTTGGAACATATTAATTCCTATCCATAGACTAGTGTGATCTGTTAACAAACGCCACCCTAATATTGCCATGAAAGCGAGGTTGATCTCCTCCGAGGACTTGAGTCCGAGTCCTCCCATTTCCTTCGTCTGGATCACCGTATCCCAACATACCAGATGTGTCTTACGGATATCCCCCGTATTCCCCCAAATAAACTTTCTTATTCTTTTGTCAATTGCTTCCCAAATACCCGCAGGCAAATAAGTAGTCTGCATGGTGTAATAAGGGATCGCTTGCAGGACCGATTGGGCAAGGATGTGGCAACCCGCGAGTGTCAGACACTTGGTCTTCCATCCGTCAAGTCTTGCATCGATTTTGTCAAGTATAAGGGCATAGAGGCTGATAGTCGTTCTCCCATGTATCGAGGA